AGTCGGCGGAGGTGGTCCCCACAGGGTAGCCCCAAAGGTCCGATCTTTTCGCCGTCGATCCTACCTCCATCGGGTCTATCCTCGGATTTGATGATAATGACGATGATTAATGATGGGGAGTGGGAGGTTTTTTAGTAGTTGAGGGGTCGCTGTCGTGGGCTCTGAGAAATAACGCAGGAGGAGGATGGTGATGATGAGGTGGCGACAGAGGAAAAGCCTGTGAGTGCTGAGTTGGATTTTTGTTGTTTGCTGAGTTGGATTTTCACTGAGGACTGCGATTGCTCTTTTGATTCCGTTCGCCGGAGGGAGGATGATTGAGTAAAAGACGACTCTTTTGGTCATAAACGAGGGAGTTATGGAATTTAACCATGAGTACAGGCTAAATTGCACAAAAAAATACTATAAGATTTCTTGTTTTAATTAATAATTAAATACCACCAGTTGTATCTTGGTACAACAAAATACCATAAAACTTCCAAAATTTGCACGTTACTATCATTAATCATGTAAATGTGGGAATTTCCACCCGAAAGTTTATTTATGATACTTATGTGCTAAATTAGGGCTTGTTAGCTAGGAATATTTACAAAATATGCTATTAAATCAGCCCGGTTTCTTTTTCATACTTGTCTTAATTCTAATGTAAAATAAAGTTGGGATATTTCTAATAAAATTTTTAACAAGTACTAGTAGTTAGAAAGCTCTAAAATTATGATGCAAGTATCATAGAAAAAAATTCAGGGGAAAATTTTCACATTTTCATAATCGATGGTGTGTAAAATTTATAAACTTTATGGTATTTTTTATACCAGAATATAACTTGGGGCATTTAATTGTCAAAAAAAAAAAAACTGTTATGTTTTTTTTGCAATTTAGCCATAAAATATATTCTCCTACTGTGACTAATTTCTCACAATATAAGAAAGCTAAATTGCACTTAAATACGACAGAATTTTTCCGCTATCACTTATGTACCACATGTCGTATTTTTTTAGCAGAAAAATGCCATAAGTTGTTAAAAATTGGCACGCTTGGACCATCGATTATACAAACATGAAAATTTTCACAGGAACGTTCCCATTTGACATTAACATGTTAAATTTTTAAAAATTTTAACCATTAATATTTATTGAATTTATCATTAGCCCAACACTATTTTTAAGTAAACTTAAGATAAGTTTGAAAAAGTTTTTTCATTGATTTAATAAAAATCTAAAAAATATTAGTAGTTAAAAATTAAAAATAGCATAAGTATCATAGAGAAATATTCGGGCAAAATTTTTCACATTTACACAATCGATGGTAATAAAGTGCCAGTCACAAAACACATCTTGTGGTGTATAAGTGACGGAGTGATCATAAAAGTTTGTGGTATTTAAATACAATCTAGCTAAAAAAGAAATACCATCAATAACCATAGAGCAAAAATATGTTGGATAACTTTAAGATGAATGATATACACTTTTCTTTCTTACATTATAAAAGTAATTTAATTAGCGTTTATATAGTCTAGTTAGTATTATCAGTGGTTTAAAGAATCGGGTTTTAATTAAGATCCTAACTTGTCGGTTAGTGTCTTCTGTAATTGATATTATTGCTAGATTTATAAATGATCAGTAAGCAAAACGGTGGATCTATCCTGGGAGTAGTGGGGGCAATTGCCCCTACTGACCCCAATGAAATGTATATATATACTATGCTACTATTATCCTTCAATCATGTCTCTACTTGTATCTATACTATGCTACTATTACCATTTAATCATGTCTCTACTTCTTTCACTTATAAATTCATGTAGAAGATGGAGTATGCTTTGTTAAATGGTTGTTCGGCATCCTACTACTTTAATGAATAATTACATCACTTCTTTACTAAAATCAATTCAAATTAGATTAGCATATATGTAAAAGTGTACAATTATATGCTTTCTCTAATTGCATACACAATTTTGTAAATACTTTTGTTAGTCATCTATATCTATCAATATCTATATCTATATCTATATCTATCTATATCTATATACTACTATAAAAGAGGATTGCTATGTTAAAACTTTTGATTTCCTTTTATACCCTCTCAATTTTAATAATTCACAATAACTAAGAGTATTAAAGTTAGTGTGGTTCTAATGGCGTTCCCTTGAAATTATGATTTTGGTTAAGCACTTATTCTTAATTTTGTTTTACATAACTACTATCCAGCTCGAAAAAGTAGTTATGCATATACAATAATATGATGAAAGATAATGTTTAGAGCAACAAACCAAGATTATATTATGCAAAGGCCTCTTTGTGCATGTAGAAAGACACGGTTTTTGTCTTGACAAAGTTAAATATGAGAAATGTTTGACCAATAATTTCTTCATGTTCTTTATTTAGAAGAATGGAGAACTTACTTGTAGTTATACCATAGAACTGTGCCTAATTCTGTACAAATTCTATGCTATTTCGATTTGGACTCCCATGAAAGGAGAGAATGAGCACTAAAGAGTAACTTCTAGAAAAAAAATATAGGAGGATGGATGATCAAATTATTTGAATAGATAAAGAGTCAATAGTAAAGTTTAATTACAAGACATTGAGGGTTGAATAAAAATGACATATACTCAATTTAAATATAAGAAATTAGATAACATTTAAATATCCTTAAATTTATAATCTAAAGCAAACCACTACGTAAATACTGACGAATCTGAACCATAAGTATATTTTTTTGTAGTCATTTTCTTCATAGGAAACTTATGTTGATACTATATTAGAGTGGATCCCTAAAGTTTTTGTCGTTTTCAGATAACCCCCTAAAACTTATGTTTTAAATTATAAATTTAACATTAAAAACTAATTTAATAACATATGTTAATTTATAATTGTATCATGCATCACGTGTAATGCACGTATGACATACTAGTTTATTAAAAAAAATATCATTTTACATTTATTTTTATATGGAAATCATGGTTAAAGTATGTATTTTTATACTTATTTTATTATTTTAAATATTTACACTATGCACGTATATTTTTAGTAGAAATTCAATGTATCATACACATTAAATCATATATAATATAATTGACATGAAGGGCAGAGAATTGTTTAGATAAAAACTCAATGTTCTTTGCATGTGCATTTGCATATGTCAATATATATGCTAGTTTAATATTCAACCCCTATATCAATTTTTCCTCACACTGTTTTCCTCATCGATCGCCTAGGCTCACAGATTATATTATGCAAAGGCCTCTTTGTGCATGTAGAAAGACACGGTTTTTGTCTTGACAAAGTTAAATATGAGAAATGTTTGACCAATAATTTCTTCATGTTCTTTATTTAGAAGAATGGAGAACTTACTTGTAGTTATACCATAGAACTGTGCCTAATTCTGTACAAATTCTATGCTATTTCGATTTGGACTCCCATGAAAGGAGAGAATGAGCACTAAAGAGTAACTTCTAGAAAAAAAATATAGGAGGATGGATGATCAAATTATTTGAATAGATAAAGAGTCAATAGTAAAGTTTAATTACAAGACATTGAGGGTTGAATAAAAATGACATATACTCAATTTAAATATAAGAAATTAGATAACATTTAAATATCCTTAAATTTATAATCTAAAGCAAACCACTACGTAAATACTGACGAATCTGAACCATAAGTATATTTTTTTGTAGTCATTTTCTTCATAGGAAACTTATGTTGATACTATATTAGAGTGGATCCCTAAAGTTTTTGTCGTTTTCAGATAACCCCCTAAAACTTATGTTTTAAATTATAAATTTAACATTAAAAACTAATTTAATAACATATGTTAATTTATAATTGTATCATGCATCACGTGTAATGCACGTATGACATACTAGTTTATTAAAAAAATATCATTTTACATTTATTTTTATATGGAAATCATGGTTAAAGTATGTATTTTTATACTTATTTTATTATTTTAAATATTTACACTATGCACGTATATTTTTAGTAGAAATTCAATGTATCATACACATTAAATCATATATAATATAATTGACATGAAGGGCAGAGAATTGTTTAGATAAAAACTCAATGTTCTTTGCATGTGCATTTGCATATGTCAATATATATGCTAGTTTAATATTCAACCCCTATATCAATTTTTCCTCACACTGTTTTCCTCATCGATCGCCTAGGCTCACAGATTATATTATGCAAAGGCCTCTTTGTGCATGTAGAAAGACACGGTTTTTGTCTTGACAAAGTTAAATATGAGAAATGTTTGACCAATAATTTCTTCATGTTCTTTATTTAGAAGAATGGAGAACTTACTTGTAGTTATACCATAGAACTGTGCCTAATTCTGCACAAATTCTATACAATGTGTTAATATAGTAGCTAACTATTTCGATTTGGACTCCCATGTAAGGAGAGAATGAGCACTAAAGAGAAACTTCTAGAAAAAAAATATAGAAGGATGGATGATCAAATTATTTGAATAGATAAAGAGTCAATAGTAAAGTTTAATTACAAGATATTGATGGTTGAATAAAAATGATATATACTCAATTTAAATATAAGAAATTAGATAACATTAAAATATCCTTAAATTTATAATCTAAAGCAAACCACTACGTAAAAACTACCGAATCTGAACCATAAGGATACTTTTTTGTAGTCATTTTCTTCATAGGAAACTTATGTTGATACTATATTAGAGTGGATCCCTAAAGTTTTTGTTGTTTTCAGATAACCCCCTAAAACTTATGTTTTAAATTATAAATTTAACAATAAAAACTAATTTAATAACATATGTTAATCTATAACTGTATCATGCATCACGTGCAATGCACGTATGACATACTAGTTTATTAAAAAATATTATTTTATATTTATTTTTATATGGAAATCATGGTTAAAGTATGTATTTTAATATTTATTTTATTATTTTAAACATTTACACTATGCACGTGTATTTTTAGTAGAAATTCAATGTATCATACACATTAAATCATATATAATATAATTGACATGAAGGGCAGAGAATTGTTTAGATAAAAACTCAATGTTCCTTGCACGTGCATTTGCATATGTCAATATGCTAGTTTAATATTCAACCCCTATATCAATTTTTCCTCACACTGTTTTCCCCATCGATCGTCTAGGCCCACAGATTTTTTTTTTTAAATAGACACTCGTAGTTAGTAATGGTGTCACTAATATTTTAGTAGAAATATCATATACTATTTAACATTAAAATATCCTTAAATATAGAAGGTTAGTTAACAACAATCACAATCAACTCATTGTCGAGGTTCATAACCAACTCGTAACCTTCACAACCAACTCATAACTGTGACAACCAACTCGTAACATTGACAACCAACTGGTAACATTGACAACTAACTCGTAATCTCTTGACAACCAACTGGTAAACTTGAGAACCAACTCGTAACATTGACAACTAACTCGTAACCTTCATTCACAACCAATTCATAACCTTAACAACAAAATCATTTATAGTAAAATAACAACAATATAAAAATTTACAGACTTTGCTTTAATTTTAAGTTATCGATTTTTAAAAAAATTATAACAAAACGTAAAATAATAAAAAATATAGCATTAAATTCAAGTACAAGCTAAAAATAGGGAAAATTACACCGGGAGTCGCCGGAATTCTCACCTTTTTCTTTGGAACGGTGACGCTAAATCCATCGCAACTCGCCTTGATCCTAATCTTCTCCGTCTTAAACGACCCACCGTCTTCTTCATCATTGTCTTCAAGATCACAACAATATATAAATTTGGAGAGAACTAGAATTTCCCCCCAAAACCCATTTCAAATCATCAAAGTGACATCATGAAAGAGAGAGAGAGAGAGAGAGAGAGAGAGAGAGAAAAGGTGTTATGGTCTTCACATATTTTAAACTCTTGGGTTTTGTGTTTTGAGGGCTCAGAGAATTGTGGCTTTGCTTTTGGGGATTTTGAGAGTGTTGAAAAAGTCTTGGGTGGGGAAAGAATAGTTGTTGTTATATTGGGGGCTAGAAGCAATTTTCCCTAAATTCAAACACTCTGTTTTTGAGTACTGTATGATATCAGTTTGTATCTTTGTCATCTCATATCTGTGTTGTCATTGAATCCTTAGTTTTATGTGTGTTTGCTATATCACGGGATATGACCATGTACGTATCAACAAACAACTCGTGACATAATTTCATATGTTACTTTTATCTAAGTATGAGACACTGGGTCATGAGGAGTGAACACGATCTAGTTTTAGGCTTTTTTTTTCTTCTTTCGCAAAAAAAGAAAAAAAAAGAAAAAAAAAGAGCCTGAACCAGTCCATATTTACTCAAGCCGAAAATAGCCCTTTTAACCTGGTTCCTTTTGGGACCGCCCTCTCCTGGTTCAGTTGTAGTCTGGTTTAATTAGGATCAAATAAAATTAGGCCAGGACTAATCTTGACCAAGTCTTTCAAGGGTTGCCAAATACAGCCAAAACAACATTTCTAATTAATCTTACAAATGCAATTTTCAAAATGTAGATGATCAAAAAGTCCAAAGTTGGGCGGCTGAAGCAACATCATAAATTTGCTTCAAGGGATGTTCACCATAAAATTTGTATCACATATGCTATTCATTACAGATCTGAAGATACAAAAATTTATCATATATAGTTATTATTGCTCATATTTTCTTTATATTTCTCATTACAAATCCGATTATTAATTAGATAGAACTTTATTTACTATATCACAAGGTTGCTTGAGAACTTTGTCTATTCTCATGGAAGATGACCTTGTTCCTTGAGAGATTGAATAGCATCATCAAACATTTCTTCAATCCCTTTAAACTTGATCCCAAGTTTTTGGACCTTGGAGGTGTCATACTCAAAGCGAGGCCCCTGAACGTAACTGGGAAAACTGGAAGAAAAAAAAAATTCATGACCAAAACATAATCATAATAGCAAATAATATCCATAAGAAAAATATATAAAAAAACTTACAAATTTCTTTAATCATTTTGCTGACCTCGTAGGAATAGGAAGCCAAGGGTAACGCTTCGCAAGAATTGATGCTAGTTCAGGGACTTCAAGTACGGTTGAAGTACAGAGGTATCTTCCTTCAGTATTGTCATTTTCATAAACTAAGATATGACAACTAGCAACATCGTCGATATGAACATACCCCATTCTTCCACGCCTTGCAAATTTCTCATTATCTCCTGCAGAATTACTTCATAATCAATCCGACAATTCATATTTCTTTTCGATAAGGTAACTTGAGGGGTTTTTCTTGTCGGTATCGTTATATTACGAAGTGCTATGATATTGATGAAGGGTAATGCAAGTATAAAATTTGTTTATACTTCAAATAAACATACCTACCTTTAAGTAGAGAGAGAATATCTGATGCAGTTACATGTAAGTTGCATAGACTAGGACCAATAATAAATGATGGAATCACACTGACGAGATTAATACCGTTCTCCTTTGCAAATCTCCATGCAGCTTGCTCTGCTAGTAGTTTCCCGAGTGGATACCAAGCCTTCATTTAAAAAAATTAGTAAGTGCTCTAGGATAATCGAATAAAACTTAGTAAAGTTCAAAATAAAAATAATAAAAATAAAAACTTAGTAAAAAAAAATGTATGTGCAATCTTCACCTTGAGCTTCTCACACTCTTGAGCATTACTCCATGAGTTTTCATCTAGTGGTTGTTTTGGATCACTTGATGATCTTGCGACTGCTGAAGTTGATGATGTGAGAACAACTTTTTTTAGAAGAGGGCTTTTCTTGCATGATCTTAACACATTCAGGGTGCCTTCAACTGCAGGGTCTAAGACCTCAGCCTACAAGAATTGATATTGGTTATGCGTCAGAAATTATGACAGGTATATATGTAGATAATTAAGCAGAAGTTTTCAGGTTTAGATTGTAACTGTAATTATCGACAGATTGAATACCTTTGGATCGGATTTAGGGTACAATACAGGGAAAGCAGCATGGAAGACACCCTCACATCCGATGATAGCATCATCGAAGCTTCCTTCGTCCATGAGCTCGGCCCTCACAAGATGAAGCCTTTCCTTTGCTCCTTCCAGTTCCCAGAGGTGTCCAATTTTCTTGTAATCTCCTGTAAATAGAGATTTTTTTTTGGGTGCAAGAAGATTAATTTTCAAAACCTGTGTTAGTTTTCTATATACATTAGAATATATGTCCTTAACCAATAATAATAATAACAAATTAAAAAAAAAACTCTAGAACTTCTCAAGCGTCGTTCCTTCTTTTTTTTTTAGTTCATGGCCAGAAATTTTGGTTTCATTCGTTCAAGAGAATGTTATTTTAGCTATATCTTTAGGAATTTTGATTCTTAGTTCACGCTGGAACTAACCGTTTTCATTCCGCAACTTTTTGTAAGACTTGGAAGCATTCTAGTTTCCATAGCTGTAGATGTTTAATTAAACTCTTATTAATGAAATGTGGGAGGTTTATACTCACAGAAATTTTTGAGGAAAACATAATTCCTTCTGTCCTTATAATTACCTTAATCTAGAGTTAATTGTGGATAAACCAATGTACTCTCCCAATTACGGATAAACGTCGATCTCTATAGTTCTATCGTTGCAGATAGACCCCCTGGGTGAAATTTTCTTACTCTTCTACCCTCGCGTCTATCTGTCAGAAAACAATTTTCTTTTTCTTTGAGGGTAAAAGAGTCAAAAGAAATTTCACTCAGGGTCTATCCACAATTAATCCTATAATCTATTACAATCAAAGCAACAACACACTGAAAAAGATGAGAACCAAGAGTTAGAAGTCTAGAAACCTGGGTCTCTAACAGTTCCTTCTACATTGTATCCTGACTCGAGCAATCTCTTAACTAGCCATGATCCAAAGAAGCCAGCAGCACCTGTTACACAAACTTTGCCTTTGATACTAGCTGACTCCTTCTGATCCATAATGTTGATTCCCTAAGAAATTTGATTTATGATATATATATTTGTTTAGTTTAGCTCACCTACGTGCAAATTAAATATATGGTAGAATTTGGTCTAAAATTAGACATCAAGCTATAGAGGAAGGTCACTGTAAAGATTTTGAATCTACTTAGCTTTTAGCAAGAATTTAGCTTTGCAGTTTCTATTTCCTAAATTGTTTCAAACTCTTACTGAGTTCAAAGAAAGAGAACAAGTTCAAAGAAATAGATCATTTCTTAAAACTGCAGTTGTTGGTACGGTTAAAAGATGAGCAATTTTAGCAATCAGCAATTTTAGCAGATTGCTAGACATGCTCAAATTTAGGGCTATCCAAACGGGCTTTCAGCCCGGAACCGGCTCGGTGTCCAGCCTAGACCCAATTGGGCCTGAGCCCGGCCCAGGGCTCAGGAAAAGCCTGGAAAACCTGGACCGATCGCGCTCCGTGCCCGGGTTCAGGTTGTGTTGGTGAAGCTCGACCCAGACCCCAGTTATGAAATTTATATATTTTTCTATATAGTTATATTATTATATGGTCATTAACGTATACTCATATATATCTCTAAGTATATATAGTTTTTTCTTTTTTTTCTTTAAGGAAAATGGCCGTAGCCTCACAAGTGTATATAGTTGTATATAGTTAAGTACGCAAGCATATGCATATATATAAGTATATAATTATATATAATGTAGTTAAAAGTATACTCATGTGTATATCATAGACTTATAGTCATATAAGTATATTTTATATAAGTACATAAGTATAATTATATATAAGTATATTGTATCTTGTATATATATAATTATATCATATGAGTAGGCATGTCCATCGGGCCGGCCCGGGCCGGGCAAAACCGGAGCCGCGGACCCGGGCCGGGTACCCCGGGCCGGGCTCCGGGCCGGCCCGGATTTTTTTTGTTTTTATTTTTTTATTTTTTTAAAAATTTAAAAAACAATAAAACATAAAAATTACATAAAATTACATTTATATAATAGTAATATATATTTATACTCTTATAATAATATAATTATATTATATGTACATATAAGTTTATGTTTATATATATAGTGTATGATATATAAATATATTTATACTCTTATATGTATTTATACTATTATATAATATACTTATATATGTACATATAAGTTTATGTTTATATATGTGTATATATAAGTATACTTATATACTAAGAGAGAGAGAGGTATAAATATACATATAAGAGAGAGTATACACTGTACACATATATAAGAGAGAGCATACTTATACATATATATAATTATATAAGAGATAAACATATATAAGAGAGAATATACTTATATTTATATATACTTATATACGTAGTAGCCCAAAGTATTCATGTCATTCAATATATGTATATGTATTATATATACACACACACACTGACACACATATACATATATTATACATAACAATTGTAAATACTTTAGTATTACATAAACAAATTGTATTATACATTAAAACACACACACATATAAACTTATATATACACACATATATTATACATATATAGAGAGAAGTATACTATATATACTTATACATATATAGAGAGAGTATACTTATACATTTACTATTATATATATATATATATATTATTATATTATATTATATATATATATATATATATTATATATATATATATATATATATAAGAGATATTAAATAATAAGAGAGAGTATACTGATATATACTTATATAAGAGAGTATACACTGTATACTTATATATTACTTATACATATATATATAATAATATATATAAGAGAGAATATACTTATATATACTTATATACTAGTATACTTATATATATACTTATACATATATTATATATATATATAAGAGAGAATATACTTATATATACTTATATACTAAGAGAGGAGAGTATAATATATATATATATATATACATATATTATACTATATAAGAGAGAGTATACATTGTATACTTATATATACTTATACATATATTAACAGAGCATAATTTATAACTATATATATATACTTATATAAGAGAGAGTATACTTATATATAATTATATACTAAGAGAGAGTATATATATATATATATATATATTATACACAATATATATACACATATACATATATTTTATATATAAAAAAATAAAAAAAGAATAAAAAATGGCACTGTTCCGGGCCCGGGCCCGGACCCGGGTTTTGCCCGGGTTTCCGGGCCCGGGCGGGGCCCGAGCCCGGGCCCGGGCTCCGGGCTTTTTGGACACCCCTACATATGAGTATATAACCACACTTACATAAACATAATATAAGTATGTAACAGATACATCATAAATATATGTATATCATAGACTTATAGTCATATAAGTGTATTTCTTATAAGTATATAATTTTTGTCTTGTCTTTAACGGTACACTAATTTACTATAATTATATATAAGTATATTTTATCTTGTATATATATAATTATATCATATGAGTATATAACTATACTTATATAAACATAATATAAGTATGTAAATATAAGTATATAATTATATATAATCTAGTTATAAGTATACTTGGATGTGTAAATCATAGACTTATAGTCATATAAGTATATTTTATATAAATACATAAGTATATTTATATATATCACTATATTGTATCTAGTATATATATAAATATATCATATGAGTATATAACTATACTTATATAAGCATAATATAAGTGTATGATAGATACATATATAACTATGTTTTTATAAATTAATAAGTACACTTATACACCTATAAGTGAAGACCTATTTAAGTATACACACCCCATAAAGCTATATAAGTATATAAGTACACACATATATATATATTTACTTATATACTTAAATGATTCTCTCTCTATATATATATATTTTTTTAAAACAAAACTTTACATATTTTAATTATTCTTGAAAATGCATTTTTTGCCAAAAAAAATCTAATTTTTTAGCATTTTTATTTTTTTTAAAACAAGTTTTTTAAGAAAAGGTGCAAAAATCTGGGTCGGGCAGAGCATTTTGCCCAACCTAGACTTGAAAATTCGGGCCCAGCCGGTCCATTTGGACACCCCTACCAAATAAAGTCTCATACCGGTAAGAATGAAAGACCTTGTATTTTGAGGTCTCTGAGTGTTTAATCTCCATAGATATTCAATCAATTTAATAAGTTAAGATAATTTTGAAAAGTTTTGCACTAAAGGGCAATGAGAAGACCATCTAACTATCTCTCTCACAGGGTTTCAGATCATCTCTAATGAAGTGTGGCAATTGTGTTTTCAATTACTCTAATCCTATCATTTCATTCCAATTCCAATGACTGAGATGAAGCCACGTAGGATTTGCACTATCAAAGTGTTGATTTTTCACAATATTGATTTTAAAGACAATAGTGGTTTTCAAGATAATATTTTAGATTTTTACATAGCTTCATCTCAGCCGTTGGAATTGGGATAGAGGGATAAATTTGGAGTAATCAGAAACCCTCCAATTGCCACAAGTGGATACAAAAACAAAACATCTAACCCGTTCAGTCTTGTGCGTCATCTACCTCAAAATGTTTTACTTAAAGACTGTCATAAGTTTTTAATCTCTTCAACGTGAGACAAACATGAATATGTCTTTTTCTTCACGCATGTGCTTACTTTCCTAAGATAGACAGTGAGATAATTAAATAAATATATTAAATATTTGGTGCAGTTTAAGCGGTTTAGTTTGCGAGTCGATGTCAGCTCCTTGAATAGAGTTAAACTAGTATTTAACCCGTGCTAAGCACGGCATCCTTATAATTTTTTTTTTTGTGTGTAGTTTTTCTTCATCTCATTTATTTGTTTTGTCACGATAAATTTATCTTAAACATACTTGTGGACATTATGACAACTTAACACAGATAGGAATTTGTGGACATTATAACAACTTAATTGAGCTTAACTCAGAAGGACAAAGAAAAAAGAGTCATAAATAATGATCAAGAGATATCATATTGATTTTGTAATATGTGATTGCACCTTGATTTTCTCGACGACAATGGCCGATCATAGTTTGCTCATCCCTACAATAAAACTATAATTAACATGATTTATCATGAATTAAGTGCGAAGTTAGTATAAAATTTGATGATATCTTTATAAATACAACAAAAACTATACCTATGAGCAATCAGAGGATATACTTGTTTGAGGGATCAGTAATTATTGGGAATCTGCGAATACCTCCTATCTAACCTCGGCCCCGGCCTCGATGCATCGATGCAGAAGAAGTATGCTTCGGAAGGTGGGGTTGAGGCGGCGGCGGGTACGCCTGAGGTGGGGGGTACTCATATGGCTAAGAATAATAATCAAAGCTGCAATCTGCAATAATCACCAGCAACATATACACGTCGCATATAATAAGTTAAAAAAATAAAAATCAACCATGTGCAGTGAGCACAATAACATAACTATACATTTCTATTTTAGCAAATAAATTGAGATATATGAAAAAAAATTAAGGATTAAATACAAATATATTCTTGTACTATTACTGCAAAAGATTTCATATAGCAAGTCATAAGCTTGTTTTAGGTGCCCAAACTCATCAGTTTGCAACAGTTGCAAAAAGAATGACCAAACAGCCTTTGTATATAAAAAAATTACGAAAGAGAAACTTTGGCGGATCAAACATTAACTCCTAGTTTCATCAGTAATAGCGATGTGGCTTATCAAAATATTTGGCCATTCTTTGGATCGAAGATAACCCTACATTTTTCTTGCTGTAGGTTCCCAATTTGCACATATCTACTTCATTTTAATGCAGATGAACCAATCACAGAGGAGGGAATTGAAGCGTGTACATAATGATGTATGCTAATAAACAGGTGGGAAAAAAATCAATCCTACTTTCCATCAGTAATAGCTAAGCATCTCATAATTGTATTTAGGCACTCTAGAGATCCAAGATAGCCTTCAATTTTTCTTGCTGGCGGTTCCAATATGTATCTACAGAACCAGATTTGATGAGGGGGAACTACAACAGAACTGTTTAAGAATTATTGTACTCACAAAGTAATTTCTACATCTAAACAATGCAGCAGGTGACTGGAATACATTCCTTGATACTCGAAAAATTTTGCGAGTAAGACCATTGTTCCTTAATGGCAGCAACAAATAAAAAAGGACAACAATCTCGAGAGAACTTTATTTTAAAATATAGACTTACAATGATGAACTCCTCTCGGTCTGAGATATTGATCAGTACTTTGAAAACACGATGTTGCACTGCAGAATAAATACATGTGAAAACAATTAGTTTTATTCAACTCAGATTATGCCATTTTTTATAAGGTACAATTGAAAATTCTAGTAATAATCAAGAGCAATAGAACACCCTTATGGCATTATTAAATAAAGCATAATACCAATGTAATTGCTTTTTCTGAGGCATTTTTGGTTCTATACATTAGAATTTAGCTTATTTTCTTGCACTGCACTTAGTTTTTATGATAATTGATAATTTTCAAATTTATTTTAGTTTTCATGTGCTATTTACAGGATTAAGTATTTGGAGGTTGATGACCCTCACTCCTATGACTGGCAAATATTACTGCCAAGAGGCAAACTTACTTATAAAAAACAAAACTATTTACAATTGATATTTTGACTTACTTTTGCTACATACTTCATAAAATTTCACTTCCTATATGGATTGTTATCAATTGTAATCTTCATGTATTAAAGTTTCA